CTCTCTTCACTAGTTTCCGTGACGTCCATTACACATGTGGAAATCCAGGTTAAGACATTGCTAATCTGGAAGGGTAAATTCGTAGTGACGTACTTGGGAAAAGTTTGATGAGTTACGGGGATGAAGTTGTGCGACGACAATCAGCCATTTATGATCCAGGCTGTTTCAAATTTTGACGGTCTGGTGCCAAATACTGTGAACATGGTAATTATGTTTCTCTTTGCTGAGAATTCTATCAACGCTTGAAAAATCATACAGAAAATCGCATTGTGTTACTTATATTTACTAAAATTGAAATATAATTTCTGTATTTCACATTAATTAGATACTTCATGTGACACTTTGGAAAATTTTATCATGAAACGAATAATTAATTAATTTTCTTTGAGTTACACTTACACGTTCCTGTATACAAATTTTGTAAAATTTCCTCCGAGAGGAGTACTCCATCGCGAATTCAAAATGTTCTTTAGATAAGATAGTATCCCTTTTAGTATGCAAATTGATTAATCCGACGGCATAAAGCAGGAAATTACTCTATTTTATGATGCTTGGAGTGAGGAATTTTATGATCATGCAAAAAGCAATATGAAAACATTGAAATGTTTTTCTTAAATGACCGTACAGTATTGTTCGTGATAAAAGCGAAGTGTGTGTAATATTAGAGAGAGTAACTTTGTAAATATAAAACAGTGTATAAAATTATTTTCTAATTTAATTCATTAAAGAAATGTACACATTGACACGCGTGATTATACATAGTATAAGTTAATAAAAACTTTAGCACTAGACATATAGACACTTTAATGTAGCTCTCGAGAGTAATGCAAACTTATTACTTTCTCTACCCTCTAAAATTAATAAAGAGTATAGTCAAATAAGTAGGTCAAAACAGCCCTCGATGTAAATTAAACCGGCGATGATCCGTTCGGTAACTTATTAGTTTTAAGAAAAAATATTCCTTGCACTACTTGGATTGGGAAAAAATTAATGTAATATCGTCATTATACAAAGAAAATATAAAAGCTTCAAATACATTACATTTTCATGGGAAAAATCGGAAAATCTGGTTCTTATTTTTTTATTTTAGTACACTAAACTGGGAAATTTGAATTATTTTCAGATTTCAGAGGGTAATAGGTATACAAATATATTCTTACTCAAAAAATGCAAATTACAACACATTTGCATATTAATAAGAAATTTTTATTTCTTAAAACCTTTCACTCCTTCTAATTTTTTGTAACTAGAAATTTCAATAAAGAAAGTTTTTAAAACTCAGATATGTTTCGGGGATTTTTTACTTTACCTAATCTTTTTCAGAAATTTATATGTAACTAAATAAGGAAAATAAAGGGAATCATTATAATTCGATCATTTATTACAACTACCCTATCTGTTTAAATAGGGGGTTGAAGTTTTGTACTACATTACTGTACTATTTTCCCTTGTAATTCTTAGATATTTAAAACATCTATATACTGTAATTTCTACTCATTAGCATGCAATTGTATCAAAACGCAGGAGTATAATTGGAATTCACTTTGTATCGTATTCATTAAAGTCAGAAACACTGGCGTATTCGATAGGAACAAAAGAAGAAATATGCTGTGTAGATATAACTGAAACGAGAGGTTTAAAACCACGCCAGAATCTCTAGTAGTCTTTAATTTTCATAGGTTTCTATTGCGAAACCAATAAAAAAAATCACAACACTTTTCCGTCCTTTCTTTCAGTTCTTCCGGTAGGAAAATAGATTACATGTATCAAATGACTGAAAATTGAGTAAATAAGTAACATAACAAAAGATTATTAATTTTTCTAATATGTTGAAAAAAGTGGTAAATTATTCTCTCTTACAAAGTTTCGATTTATACTAGACAAAAAAGTATTTACAATGAGACATCGAATAATTGAAAATAGATGTACTTTACCAAATGTATACATAGATAGTGTACAATTCGGACAATTCTAAATTATGAATGCAATGATGCGATTTCACTGATCGTTATTACAAATGAAATATAATCTACAGTCTAGTGATGATTATTATATGTTATGATCATCAACACATCATCAACCGATGTGCCTTACCTCCAGACGGAGCGCCCGTAATTCTTTTAATGTTGAATTATTTATTTCTCTAGATAAATATATAATTCTTCTTTGTTTTCTTTCGGTTTTTCATAAAATATACTCTAGGTGCATTCGTCCTCCGTTTGACGAGTACACACATCATTTTTTGATTTCATTGTGCACATAACGAGAGATTTTTGAAACTAACTTCCACAGTTAACAGGTTAATAAATTTTGGTGCACTCCCGTTTGCTATAAACGTATAAACATCCGCGGCGTAATTATATCAGATGCTGGCGATACCGTGCGTTTCAGGAAGTTTATTATCACGATAAACGTCCAATTTTAGATTATAAAATAATACGACCAGAGGATTTTAAACGCCGACAATTGTTGACTGTTTATCTCGCAACGGGGAACATCTCTGACGTTTGATTTCATAAAGCTACGTGATTCGCTTTGCAGTGATACGCGATTCTTTAAGGATTTCCCGGGTTCGCAGCGCCTGGGAGAAATTGTGAAAAGCGGAACGTGCCTGTAACAGTGGCCTCGGCGCGAAAGAAACCAACTGAGAAATAAGAAAAATCCTGGAATAATATTACGTAACGTTACAGCGCGCACCTCCCCGGCCGTGTGAAAAGTTCTCTCATTTCGGAAAGAAACAGAAACACCTAAAATAAAGTCAAATTCAGCGGCGCGACTTCTCGCGACCGTAAAGAAAATCATTTCAAAGGGGCGCTGCTGTTTATTTTCTTGGGACTTAAAAAAACGTATTTCGCGCCCCTTTCTTTCTCATTATTAAAAATCCCTAGAAACTAACAAAAGACTTCCTGAACGAAATTTTGTTCGGACCCAGCACAAAATCACAATGGAGCAGGTGTTTAAAAACATTTATATGTTGAACATTTTACGAATTTTTGTTCCTTTTCAAATTTATAGTATTTAATACTTTTCCCTACTATTTTTCAACTATAATCGATGTAACTACTTTGCTAGTGATAATTTGTTACGAAAAAGAAGAAGATTGTAAGCATATTCGATATGCATCTTTGTCCCAAAGAATAATAATTGATAACACAAGAATTATATTTAATTTGAAATCAAAGGAATCGAGTAATATTTCGGCTTATTAAACTTTATTTGATATTATTTTAATAAAATTTTTGATTATATTGATTTATATTTGGTAATTTATAAGACCGAGATGTTCCTTTACTTATTTACAATTGTTAGAGTGTTTTAAATGGTCTTCTGTATAAAAGGGTAATATGAGTGAAAGCAAAGTAACTCTTTAAGTAAAACGCTATAATGTACTACAATAATAATATTAATTATAACGAAAATCTTAATTATACCTTTAATTTTAAAAATGGTTCAAGTCACTTCGAGTATCAAAAATCATATTGCCTTATAAATTACAAACATTACACAGTCATAATAATTTTATAATTTTTCAAGACAAAATACTATTTGAAATATTTTGTTACGTAATAGAAAAATATTTTTCAATCTATCCAAACATAAACCTTCAAATATCTGTGAACTGAAAATATACTACTTAGTCTACTCCCTAAATTAACAACACAATTACATGTAAATAATATTGTATTATAATAAAGATGTAGTCATTATAATAAAATCAAATTATTCTTCAATTATTGCACATATAGACGTTGATATAGCATTGATAGGTGTGGTTTTGAAGCAAGCTAATCACAAGTGCCCTTGAAATGGTTGAATGGAAGAGTTTCGACGTTAGAGAATCATCGGAGACACTGAAAGATATTGGAATGCGAAATTAAGTGGAACATCAGGGATATGGATAGTTTAGGGTAAACTATTGGATAAACCGTAGCGTTAATATCGGTACGTATTACCGACTATTAACAGGGAATGGATCGACGTAATTACACGTGGGTCGTATGCCGACAGTGGCTGAGCAGACGTTGGCTCGTACTACTACGCCACATGAGGACCACTGGCAAACGAAGCACTATGCGATCATAGATCCAATACAGGGTGCTGCGTCGGATTATTACAGCCCCTTCCTCGGTACATACATGGGATAATCGTATTTTCTGGAAACCCGAGGAATTCACGGAAATCGGCGAGCCATGCTTTTCCTTCATTAATGCGATTTTATACCATTATGACTTCGAATTTTGCAACTGGAATGCAGATTCTACGTTTTATGCGAGATATTCGCAGTATCGAATGAAATATTCGTAGTGTTGAGAAAGTTAGAAATGTGATAGTTATATGTATTTTGTATACGAATGGCTTCTGCGAATTTTGTACATTTAAAATAACGTTTAACATATATATTTATGTGAGAATAATGATTAAATTCTTACTGTTGCTTATTGTATTTTCCAATACACGTGATAATAAAATATGGAGAAACAATAAGGTGATATAATATTATGAATTTTTATTCCAATGAGCACGGTGCAGAATTCAAACTTCATGTAAATATATTAATTTATGGAAAATAATATAAATGTGTATAAATATTATATGGCATTTGGTAATATAAGATTCTTCATTTACATATTATGTATGAAATTATTCACACACTCATGTATGTATGAAATGTGGAATTCCTTTATTATAGTGAAATAAAAGTTGCGACTAAAATTTAATAAAATCTTGAATTTTATCTTGGATAAAAATAACTTTTTGTATAACTCTTATAACTTTAAATTATGAAACAAAAATATTTTGCATTAAGAAGCAATTATCAATTTTTAATATCTTTATCGTAGTATTTGAAATTGCTGTTTTATATGCGATATACCTGTTTTTTGTTTTGTTCGATCGTTAACCACTCTTTAATATGAAATTGACTATTTAGCGTGTTCTTGAACTTGGAAACTCTTCTTCCTTCGAGCGAGGAACTAAACGTCCTTCCTGTCTGGTTTCAGGTGCAATTTTCGAGCAGGGCACCGATGAAGTTCAGTCAGCTTTCAAATATGCGATGTTGAACCACAACCAAAACAACACTCGGAAGTTTGAGTTGCAGGCTTTCGTAGACGTAATTAATACCGCTGATGCCTACAAGCTATCTCGTCTTAGTAAGTATGAACTTCACCAATTGAACAAATTTGTGTAAATGCGATTTCATGCGTCTTTGTTAATACACCTTCCACAAGAACTAATTTACTCGAACGTTCTTGAATAATAATTACTGGCTTGTTTCAATCATAATTCTACTTATGAGTACCATTGTCTTCTGACAAATTAAAGATTCACACTGTTACATATTTATACTTCGTTCAGCATCATTAAGTTACAAAATTCATAATATTGAGTTATCTTATATAGAATTAATTTTCATTTTTTTCATTGTGCATAATACTTCTCATAACTTTTCTTGAATAATTTTTTTTATCAAAATAAATAGAGCACAATTGAATACGAATAACATATTCTCTATCAATTTCTTTTCATTTTTTTCTACGTACGTTATTTTCTTGTGCGTTGGTACATGTGCGGATTTTTCTGTGCACATTTTTCGCGTGAGCTTTTTTCCTGTCCGCTTTCTTCGGGTTACCAAGTTTGCAATATTTATTCAACGACAAACGTCAGACTCAGACGACATTACTTTCTGGTAACCCCACTTTTAACGACAAAGTAATTCTAGTGAGCGCAGTTATGAATGAAACCATAGCACAAGGGGTTAATTTTTCAGAATACTAGTCGCGTCAGGGGCGAAATTTCAGCATGAAACAGAAATCGATTTCACTTTGTTCGCGGTATCTGCCCTGTATCAGAGATGACGACTGATCAACAATGCTCAGGCTCGTACGTGCCGGAAACGCGACGTCGCGGTCGCTATTGAATCTGGCACGTACGGAATCGGTGCAGCATATGGGCTACGAAATAAGTAACATTTCGCTCCTGTTACGGCGAAGATACTAATCTCGTTGCTTTATCGGAACACGTCTGTTTCTCGTCTTTGGAAGACATGCACGTACGACACCCGACACCGGCCGCTTCTTATCGAATCGACCGCAAATACGAAACACCATAGATATAACCACCACAATGTCTTAGGAATCGCATTACGCTACCAAATTCAACAAATACAATCAACTACTTCGTGAAATTTTCCTTTAATCAAATATTTAAGTGTTAGTAATTCATAAATATCTGAAATACTGTTGGTAATAGACATTGAATGGCTAGTTAACAGAAAAATAATTAATATAAAGTTATATAAGAATTTTTATTATACGGGACGTGGTTAAAGCGGTTATATTCAATGAACGTCTGACGCCACAGATGTGTCGCTTAGATTGATTGTGAAATTTTGCGTCATTCAAACATTTAAATATAAATAATTCATAGATATCTGAAATACTGATGGTAATTAATAGACATAGAATTGCTAGTTGAAAAGAAAATAATTAATATAAGGTTATGTAAAGAGTTTTATTATGCAGGGCGCAGTTTCATCGGTTATGTTCATTGAATAACTGACGCTACGTGTGTCGATCTTTTATTATCTTTCAACTGGAAACTGATCGAACGTTTCTGAATATTCTGCTTCGTGAAAATTCTGGGCTTTTCTCGAAATTTCCGCTCTCGAGCGTCGATGTGGCATGTTGTCATCGGCAGCCATATTTAAAGGTATCTTACAGTTTGAAAAATTTATTACATAGAGAGAATGTAGTCAAAATTAGAATCATTGTATAATATATTTATAAGATCATATCATTTTATGTTAGTACCATATATAATTTGAAATTTTATTGATGTTTCTTAAATATCAATCACTTCTGATATGTTATATATTTCTCATCTTATACAGAGTGTCATGTAACTGGTGGTACAACCGGATAAAAACTGATTCTTTGTAAAAATATAAGTCGAAAATATACAATAAAATATGCTCACTCATTGCCTCATTCATATGAGGCTTTATTTTCGAGAAAATCGACTTTGAATTGATTGAAGTTTATGTTGATAAAGATTATCAACATTGCGAAAATGTTTATTGTACTTCAGAGTTAAAAATACGTAATAGGATGTTAAAGTAACCATAAATTTTCTTATTACTTGTTCGGTATTAAAATTATTTTACATAAAATTTGTATTTGAAACATTTAGTAAAACACCTGTCTAGATTATATTGAAATTTATAATGCCAGAATATTAACAAAAGATGCGAAGTATTTTCATGTGCATTGGTTTTCTTTTCGGGAAACTGACATCGTCGATAACGAACAGAGCAATTGAAAACTCTTCAACCGTTGCATTTATGTAAACAAGAAGCAGCCGACGGTAGTATTTAGATGCAGAAGTCTGTACGCGAAATCGTTTTCGATCGCTCGCACGTCGTCGTCTAGGGATTCTATACAGCCATTGTTCACTTTGTCCTGGAACGTGTAGATTTGAAACGTGACCGAGTTGACCGGCCATCCACAGGGTCGTTTGATGCTTTCTAACCTGGGGGTGTCGGCCAATCGAACCGCGCTGGAATTGCCTTTGAAGCTGATTGAGTCCGTTCTAAACCGTAAACGAATGGGTGCCTTGGCACTGAAGGTATTGGTGTCTTGTCATCAATGAAATCCTTGTAGAAGTTCCAGGAAACAAAGGGGCGATAGATTTTCAATTGTAACGTTAACTGGGTTTCTACAAACTGTCTTGCTCAACCGGGTAACCGTTGATAAGAATTTAACGGCGTTAACACGTTAACACGTTAACACGTTAACACGTTAACACTAGAACTATCTAGTACTTAAACTGACATTTCCGGATTTCTTTATAGAATCTATAAGCGGGTGTTTGTTAACACTTTGTATACTGCAAGCCTATTAATTGGTTCTTGGATTTTGCATGCTTGACCCCGTGTCCTACGATTTCTTTCTCAATTGCGCTCGACAGAATTATTTTATTCTTCATAATTCCATAGAAAAAGAGGAAAATTCCAGACTTATTCTATATCTACGTTTACTTAGAAGCATTAAAATTAGTAATAGAAAAATAATATTCAATTCGGACCCGTAGGAATTCAGTGATATTTATATTTGTTAAATTCTATTTAAAATCTTCAGTGCGAGTCTGACTGTCATGATACTACGATATTATAGAGCAAGGAGTTATACTTTATAACTAAGGAGATTTCGTTATACTTTAATTTACAAGTTATAAAGCTTTACAAGTAGACGTATGCACTCCTAGGCGCTAGGGAGAAATGTATCAGCCGTTTGGGTGTGGTTATTTCGATTATGAGAGGTAGCTATAGCGTTAAAATTTTAATTGACTTATGCGTCCATTTAGGTATTACTAAATCAGCTACATAAATAATTTCTCAAAGATGTTTCACAGATTTCGTCATCCTTATTGTCAGACCTCGTTTTTTATTATTTTTTCATCTTTAATATTTCAAAGAAGATGTCGGTACAATGTACTAAAGTATTAGACATTGTATACAGTCTAATTTTTATCTTCATAATGTATGTTTTGAATAAAAATTATATCGCTTGGATCGGAGAGGTCACAGAGTAAAGATAATGGGATAGAATAAAATGTATTACGAAACTATATATAAAAAAGTATAAGTATATAGAATATCCAAATTATAGCGTGTTTTTATAATGTTCCTCGGGAAAAACTATTTTCTATCGTAATACCAATTTTCCAATTATATCCTTGGAAATTTGAATTTTCATCACAATTCACAGTCTAATAATGAGATTCTAAATGTTTAAATATGAGGAATGTATATATCCTCAAATAATAAAATTATGATCATCTTATAATTAATATGAGTTACACCAGACGTGTACGAACAAAAATGTATCTATTGCCGTAATAGATTGTATATGTATAAATTTATATTTAATTTAGATAAACGTATAAATTTAATCTATTTAATTATGTCACTAATGTGTGACTGATCAGTGAACGTGTTAATTGGCAACGTGTGCAGACATGTTATATGAATCTAGCCTTTGTAATGTACTAGAACCCTGCACAAGGAATCCCTTAGCTCGAGAAAAACAAACCTATAAATCTAGTCGCTAGTGCTAGGTCTCGCAATACCGTAATTGTCGTTAAGAATATGATGGAAAATGCTTTGACAACTTTCAATGATGAATCTAAGAAAAACGTAACGCGAGTTTAACACGTTAAGTGCCCACCCCGATTTGTTTGCCGTTCCGTTCAGGTCCAGACGCGGCCGTCACCGCTGACGATCGAGCCGAAATATCGGCTTGAGGACTTGAGTTTTCTCAATGTTATAATAACAATTCCCGAATATTAGGTTCAAAGATGGCAAAGAATTTAATACAAAAAGTTAGCACCTTCTGCAATGAATGTAAAAGCAAACCACACCTCTGTTTACCCTGTTTTAATAAACTACATTAACTATTTTAAATATTATATTCTTTTTTTTCAAGTCTTGACTGAACAAAAACCGATGTCGCCTAAGCAAAATATTTAGTCTCACATCAGTGCGTAAGGACCGACACGCGCGGTCGTATAATATGAACTTAAAGTCCGCGGCCGGTCCATGCAGACCGACTGGGCCTGAACGAAAAGTCTAACGCCGGTCCCTACGGACCGGCGTGACGTTTAACGTGTTAAATGTGCAGCATTGACAATAAGTATGGTAAAAAAGTGGTTAAGAAGTGGCAAAAAACGTATCAGTAAACAATTTATGTGTATTTAAATATGAGAAAATATACATTTTAATTATAGTATATTCTGTAAATTAATTACTAGTTTGATTATTCCAAGTTAATAGATTATTCTTGAAAGTACTACTTACATTTCATATTCGAAAACATAAAAATACTGCTTTCCCTTTACTAAACACTCATCAATTTTCTTAATTATTCAATTAGGATGTTGTAAAATATTAATATTAATTCTTTCGCCTAAAATAACTAAAATATTGTATTTATACCCTCACAACACGTATTCCAAAATTACTTATAATTCAATGAATTATTATTTTTCAAAAATAACATCAGGACTAAATAACTGTATCCACAGGCAAGTTGCTTACCCATACTTAACAATCATTCAATTTTAACCATACAATTTGAATCTTTTACTCTCCGGT